TCTCCCCATTTATCATTGTTATCTGACCGGCTGCTGGCAGGCCAAGCTGTCCCTTCCCCCTCCGTCATGAAATATTGCACAACACAGATACAATCTGGCTCTGCGTCTGCACCACCTCTTCATTGTCTGCGCTACAGATCCCCGCCAGCCGCATTCACCGCCGTCGTCTCCGCTACAGATCCCTGCCAGCCGCGTTCACCGCTACAGATCCCCGCCAGCCGCTACAGATCCCCGCCAGCCGCATTCACCACCGTCATCTCCGCTACAGATCCCCGCCAGCCGCGTTCACCGCTACAGATCCCCGCCAGCCGCGTTCACTGCTACAGATCCCCGCCAGCCGCGTTCACCGCCGCCGTCTCCGCTAAAGATCCCCGCCAGCCGCGTTCACCGCTACAGATCCCTGCCAGCCGCGTTCACCACCATCATCTCCGCTACAGATCCCCACCAGCCACGTTCACCGCCGTCGTCTCCGCTACAGATCCCCGCCAGCCGCGTTCACTAACATCATCTCCGCTACAGATCCCCGCCAGCCGCGTTCACTAACATCATCTCCGCTACAGATCCCCGCCAGCCGCGTTCACTAACATCATCTCCGCTACAGATCCCCGCCAGCCGCGTTCACTAACATCTCCGCTACAGATCCCCGCCAGCCACATTCGCCGCCGTCATCTCCGCTACAGATCCCCGCCAGTCGCGTTCGCCGCCGTCATCTCCGCTACAGATCCCCGCCAGCCGCGTTCGCCGCCGTCATCTCCGCTACAGATCCCCGCCAGCCGCGTTCGCCGCCGTCATCTCCGCTACAGATCCCCGCCAGCCGCGTTCGCCGCCGTCATCTCCGCTACAGATCCCCGCCAGCCGCGTTCGCCGCCGTCATCTCCGCTACAGATCCCCGCTACCGCATTCACTAACATCTCCGCTACAGATCCCCGCTACCGCATTCGCCACCGTCATCTCCGCTACAGATCCCCGCCAGCCGCGTTCGCCGCCGTCATCTCCGCCACAGATCCCCGCCAGCCGCGTTCGCCGCCGTCATCTCCGCCACAGATCCCCGCCAGCCGTGTTCGCCGCCGTCATCTCCGCCACAGATCCCCGCCAGCCGCGTTCGCCGCCGTCATCTCCGCTAAATAAATTCTGGGAATTAAAGGAGACTATTCATGAAAGTCCATGAATAGTTTTTTTGTAAAGAGAATTGGATTTGAAGTGCTACACCATTGATTAGAGGTCCAGATACAACTTTATTCCATTAAAAGCCAAAAGGAAAAAAAAAAAAAAGGTTCCAACACGTTTCGGGTGTCCAAGAGCTTCATCAGAGCTGGATTGGAAACAATGTGAACAAACCAGAAGTGAACTCGACCTACAGATGTATTTTTTTTCCATTGTGAAATACAAGCACAGGACTTGGCATCAGCTGGTTTGGCAGCCAATTCACTTCTGGCTTGTTTTTGGCCAGTGAAGCCCTGATGAAGGGGGAGCTTGGACCCCCCAAAACGCATTGGCGACTTTTTTGGAAAGGGAGTGCAGAAAATGCTTTGAGCATCTTAAAGTTAAACTTCAACAGGAAATTCACAGGAGAAATAAGGGAGTCGTTTACCTGCCAATGGATTTGTATTTATGTCCATCCAGTACTGAAATTTACACAGCTCAGTCCTGTGAGGAAGAGACCTGATTTTTCTCTGCTGCAGTCAAGTAACCTTTGTTAGGTCTCCAGACTGTGATTGGGCAGTGAAAGGAGAAGCAGCAGACTGATCAGCTCATCTGTGCTCTCTCCTCCTATCAGCATACTCCTTATCAGCACAGAAACTGATTGGCTGCTAAGTGAAAAAACTGAACCAATTTTCTCATCCAGACATTTGAGGTGTATAGGAAAATCCTCCCCGCTGTGTTAGTGGGGGGACTCCTCCCCTTATTTCAGAATACACAGATCACCACTGCAGCTGATTGGCTGTATTCACTGATCGAATGCTGGTATTCCAGCAGGACCATTCAACAGAAGCCAGTCTAAGGGGCAGACAGAGAGGGCTACTCATGGATGGAAATTCTGCCACTTCATCAGGATCCACGTGTGGCCAGCTTTACAGTCTGATCTCTGCTGCACAGGGGGCTGCGAGTCGCTGGCACCAGGTCAGATCCTCGCACTGAATTGATTGCAGATTTCTATTAATTTGTCCTTTTTATATCTTTTTTGGAGTTCAGCTTTAATGCAGAACTTCTGCAGACAGATGAGAGGTGGATTCCACTTTTGGTACATCCCCCCCCCCCCCCCCCCCCCCCCCCCCAGTTTGCATTGTTTGTTGTCAGAGCTCATCCGACTTGTTTCCTGCCGCAGACCGCGCCACTTCCTCCAGCACTGGTGATGATGCCACCGCCGGGGTGACAGGAAGGGTAGGCTGTGCCGCGGTGTATACCTGGTCATGGTACATGATGGTGTACAGGCTACGGGTGAGCTCATTCGCTGATTAGGAAACGGCGGCGTGTGCGTCACGGAGCGTCCTGTGGAAGAGCAATGATGGAAAAGTCAATCGGTCACTTCGCATTCATCTGACAACTCCACGGGTGAAGCCGCTGTTTTGTCAGCTGAATTGATGTTCTTCATACACCACATTGTTCACAAGGACAACCTTTACGTGTCACTGGTACATACCTGACACCGAGGGGGCGTGTCTCTGGTACATACCTGACACCGAGGGGGCGTGTCACTGGTACATACCTGACACCGAGGGGGCGTGTCACTGGTACATACCTGACACCGAGGGGGCGTGTCACTGGTACATACCTGACACCGAGGGGGCGTGTCACTGGTACATACCTGACACCGAGGGGGCGTGTCACTGGTACATACCTGACACCGAGGGGGCGTGTCACTGGTACATACCTGACACCGAGGGGGCGTGTCACTGGTACATACCTGACACCGAGGGGGCGTGTCACTGGTACATACCTGACACCGAGGGGGCGTGTCACTGGTACATACCTGACACCGAGGGGGCGTGTCACTGGTACATACCTGACACCGAGGGGGGGCGTGTCTCTGGTACATACCTGACACCGAGGGGGCGTGTCTCTGGTACATACCTGACACCGAGGGGGCGTGTCTCTGGTACATACCTGACACCGAGGGGGCGTGTCTCTGGTACATACCTGACACCGAGGGGGCGTGTCTCTGGTACATACCCGACACCGAGGGGGCGTGTCTCTGGTACATACCCGACACCGAGGGGGCGTGTCTCTGGTACATACCCGACACCGAGGGGGCGTGTCTCTGGTACATACCCGACACCGAGGGGGCGTGTCTCTGGTACATACCCGACACCGAGGGGGCGTGTCTCTGGTACATACCCGACACCGAGGGGGCGTGTCTCTGGTACATACCCGACACCGAGGGGGCGTGTCTCTGGTACATACCCGACACCGAGGGGGCGTGTCTCTGGTACATACCCGACACCGAGGGGGCGTGTCTCTGGTACATACCCGACACCGAGGGGGCGTGTCTCTGGTACATACCCGACACCGAGGGGGCGTGTCGCTGGTACATACCCGACACCGAGGGGGCGTGTCGCTGGTACATACCCGACACCGAGGGGACCATTGGTGTTGGTGGCAGGAATGGTGCCCCATCATTGGTGTCAGTGGGAGGGAGTGTGTCCTATTTTGGTGTCAGTGGTAGAAATGGTGCCTCATTGTTGATGTCAGTAGCAGTAATTATGTCCCATGGTCGATGGGAAGAAAGTGATAGTGTCTTGTATGAGTGGGAGGAAAAGTGCCCCTAGGGCCGGATAAAGGCAAGCACAGGGCCACATCTGACCCCCAGGCAACGGTTTGGAGACCACTTTTTTTTTTTTTTTTTAAGTCCGCAAACGTGCAAACTACAACGAAAAACCCGTAAGTGATCACAAAAAAAAGTGCAAGTGCGAACACCACACGAAAAAGTGCACTTAGGGGTGTGTTTGTCCTACCCCCGAAAGGGTTGGACCGTTCGCCTGATCCCCCGGGGCACGAAGCTCCTGACAGGGACAAGGTTCCCATTTGGTCCTCCTGGCCAAAAGGCCTGGTGGACCACCGTTCCTTATGCCCAGCCGAAGCCGGACATCCAGTACTAGGCGAGGGGGTTCTCCCGAAGAGAAAACCCCCTAGGGATCAGGGGAGGAAGGAACCGTATGGCCACACATCCTCCCCCCCCTAGACTTCAGGTAAGGCCCGAGGACCCACACCCTCCATCCCGTGAAAAACACACACATAAGAACAGAAAAAGTGACAAAACGTGGGAGTGCATAATAAATAAAGTAAAGATAAAGTAAAAAAATAATAAAAATGGTACCGTGCCGAAATGTGCACAGACCAGGCCCTGAGGCCTGTAGCAAAAATTGCCCTGAACTTAGCCAAAAGGCCTGGTCCTTAGGGCGCTGTGCAAAAAAGAGTGAAAAAACAGTGGCCATGTGTCATTTTCACACCGTGGGGTCCCACACCCAAGTGTTACTAGTGACACCCCTGAGCGCGTCTCCTCAGGGGGCACTGAGTTTGCGGACTTTTTGCCTCCTCAGCCCCAGGCCAGACCAAGGTAGCACGTTCAAATCAGGAGGTACTGGGTCTTTCCGGTCTCCCCCAGAGGAATTACTCCCAAGGCCCCAGAACGAATCATGGCACTCCCTGGTTTCTGTCCCTCCGGTACTAGCCTTCCGGACCCCCATCATACCAGTGAGGGTACTATACAACAACCATCCCCGTAAACTAGAATGGTCGGGAGCACCCCCACTGGACACTGATAAGAACAGATACTACACTTGATCTTAGCCAAAAGGCCGAGAAGCGATCCAACAACGCCAATATCAAACCCGCTCTGCAGGCCAGAGTACCACTGCTCTAGATGATGCTGGACGTCCTCCAGCCAGGAAATGAGGCGGAGCTCTGTCTGACTTGCTGCAACTTCTAATGCACATTGTGAGAAGCTCACAGTGTGCAGTGAAATTGGGAAGTAAGCCATTTCAGTCCAGGAGAGGAGCCGATACACCTGTGCAAGACTGGAGGGGAGGAGCCAATTCACCTGTGCAAGACTGGAGGGGAGGAGCCGGTACACCTGTGCAAGACTGGAGTGGAGGAGCCAATTCACCTGAGCAAGACTGGAGGGGAGGAGCCGGTACACCTGTGCAAGACTGGAGGGGAGGAGCCGGTACACCTGTGCAAGACTGGAGGGGAGGAGCCGGTACACCGGAGCAAGACTGGAGGGGAGGAGCCGGTACACCGGAGCAAGACTGGAGGGGAGGAGCCGGTACACCCTGTGCAAGACTGGAGTGGAGGAGCCAATTCACCTGTGCAAGACTGGAGGGGAGGAGCCGGTACACCGGAGCAAGACTGGAGGGGAGGAGCCGGTACACCGGAGCAAGACTGGAGGGGAGGAGCCGGTACACCGGAGCAAGACTGGAGGGGAGGAGCCGGTACACCGGAGCAAGACTGGAGGGGAGGAGCCGGTACACCGGAGCAAGACTGGAGGGGAGGTCGGCTCCAGCACACTTCAGTCTTTTCACCTTTTGGAGCTGAAATATCTTGTCCGCCGGCTAGCGGAGCAGCCAGGTGCAGGAGATACAAATTTGAGCTTCGGGGGTTTCAATTGTTTTGTAAATTATAATCCATAAAGGAATATTTTGTTCCCGAAGACACGATGGCTCAGTAATGCTCTGGGTGAGGAGCCGCTCAGCTCTGCTCTGCCACCTCCTGGCACTGAGTGGCACTGCACAGTGACTTGGACTTGGCCAGCTGCTCACCATCCCTCCAGTGTATCTGTTCCTCTATAGACCAGCTCATGTGATAGAATTAAATCTCTGAATGATCAAGTTTACATTATTTTCTGAAATTTCGCTCTTCGCTGATCACAATACGGCACTAATTCTAAAGGTATCGGTATATCGGGACACAGAGGAGATCTGTAGATATATGACCTTAGGGAGACAGACATTTAAAATCACGTCCATTGGAGGTCAGAGGTCATTAAATCTAGGGGTGGGGAGGGGGTCCCGGGTTCAAGGACCAGGAGGATCCATTGCCCCCCCCCCCCCATACTGTACACACAATCCTCCCATTACCATCACACATACATCTGGGGTTTAGTTTCAGATTAATGACAGATCCGCACCTTTCATGTAACCACAATCCCTGCCGTGTAATGTCGGTGACCCCTCCATTGTGTCCTCAGAATTCCTTCAGTCTGACGTATTGTGTGCTCAGCCACATCTCATCCAGGTGTATAGTGTACTCAGCCACCTGTAGCTCCGCCCCTTCTCCCAGGTGAGACCCGCCTATACATACTCAGCTGTTGGCCCAGCACAGATTAACCCTTCGGTGACATCGCACTGCAGAGACTGAGGATAAGCCTTGACCCTTTGAGAACGTGCATAGCACGAAACGCGTCAGGATGGGCTACAGCACCAGGACATCTTACCCCTTTTTGCAGTCAGTACCTTCATTTCATTTAACCCTGTGTCATTTTTTAAATGAAGTGTTTATGCAGTATCACGCTATGTGATGTCCCTTATTGGGCTCTTCATGAGCACCACCCTTTCACAGCACCAAGGTTAAGGAGGGACTCCAGAGATGTATGAGTGCCTTATGTACCATGGAATCTAACCAGGAGGGATGACCAATGAGAACTAGGGAACGCGGCTTCACCGGAGAGTGTGGAGAACCTAGATGCATCTGAAGAGAGGATACTGCTTACATGCGTTTTTTTTTTGACGCACTTCTGGTGAGTGCGCATTTAATTAATATATTCCCTGCTCACATTTGGATCACTCGCCCTGATCTGCACAGGAGACTGGGTAGAATTGACACACCGTACCCCTTTTGCATGTTCATGGACTTGAACATCGAACTTTTATGATCGATCTTATGACCTTATGTCTTCTTTCTTGTTTTTCTTTTCCATATACTGAATGAATGTTGACACTTTTATTAGCGCTGCACCTTTTTGTCTATATATTATCTTGGAAGGTTATGTTGGTTGCCTTTTTGGTGTTCTAGCAGCTTTTTATTTTGATTATATCTTTATTACAGTAAGCGCTCGCTATACTACTTGTCTCTAACTTAGAGGATAGGTTCACCTTTGGACTGTATATAGGACCCCTGTGCTGAGTGGTCATAGTACCCTGGTGCTGGGTGCATGTAATATCCAAGAACCCCTTTGCTGGGTGAGTAGATCACCCCTGGGTGCATGTAGCATCCAAGCATTGGGTGAATGTAGTATGCAAGAACCCCTGCACTGTGTGTGTAGTTCCTTAGTGCCCCTGCACTGGTTGGGTGTAGGACCCTTGTGCTCGGTGCATATAGTACCAGAGAACTCCTGCACTGGGTGGATGTAGTATCCTAGAACCCCTGCACTGTGTGTAGTACCTTAGTGCCCCTGTACTGGTTGGGTGTAGGACCCCTGTGCTCGGTGCATATAGTACCAGAGAACTCCTGCACTGGGTGGATGTAGTATCCTAGAACCCCTGCACTGTGTGTAGTACCTTAGTACCCCTGCACTGGGTGGATGTATCCCTGCACTGGGAGCAGGTAGTGTCTTAGTACCCCTACGCTGAGTGTGTGTAGTACCACTACAGTGGGTGCATGTAGTAACTTAGAACCCCTGTGCTTGGTGGATATAGTACCCCTGCACTGGTAGTAGGTAATGCCTTAGTACACTGTGCTGAGTGTGTGTAGTACCTTTAGTACCCCTGTGTCAGGTATGTGTAGTACCTTGTTGCTCCCGCAGTGGGTGGCTGTAATGCTCTTCTGCTGGATGCGTGTAATACTTAAGAACCCCTGTGCTGGGTGAGTTTAGTACCGCTTCATTAGTCGCATGTAGTACCTTAGTATCCCTCCTGTGGGTGGGTGCATTACCCCTGCACTTGAAGCATGTAGTACCCCTGCGCTGGGTGGGGGTAGTACCCTAGCTCTCCTGCGCTGGGTGAGGGTAGTACCCTAGCTCTCCCGCGCTGGGTGGGGGTAGCACCCTAGCTCTCCCGCGCTGGGTGGGGGTAGCACCCTAGCTCTCCCGCGCTGGGTGGGGGTAGCACCCTAGCTCTCCCGCGCTGGGTGGGGGTAGCACCCTAGCTCTCCCCCGCGCTGGGTGGGGGTAGCACCCTAGCTCTCCCGCGCTGGGTGGGGGTAGCACCCTAGCTCTCCCGCGCTGGGTGGGGGTAGCACCCTAGCTCTCCCGCGCTGGGTGGGGGTAGCACCCTAGCTCTCCCGCGCTGGGTGGGGGTAGCACCCTAGCTCTCCCGCGCTGGGTGGGGGTAGCACCCTAGCTCTCCCGCGCTGGGTGGGGGTAGCACCCTAGCTCTCCCGCGCTGGGTGGGGGTAGCACCCTAGCTCTCCCGCGCTGGGTGGGGGTAGCACCCTAGCTCTCCCCGCGCTGGGTGGGGGTAGCACCCTAGCTCTCCCGCGCTGGGTGGGGGTAGCACCCTAGCTCTCCCGCGCTGGGTGGGGGTAGCACCCTAGCTCTCCCGCGCTGGGGGGGGGGGTAGCACCCTAGCTCTCCCGCGCTGGGTGGGGGTAGCACCCTAGCTCTCCCGCGCTGGGTGGGGGTAGCACCCTAGCTCTCCCGCGCTGGGTGGGGGTAGCACCCTAGCTCTCCCGCGCTGGGTGGGGGTAGCACCCTAGCTCTCCCGCGCTGGGTGGGGCTTGCCCCCTAGCTCTCCCGCGCTGGGTGGGGCTTGCCCCCTAGCTCTCCCGCGCTGGGTGGGGCTTGCCCCCTAGCTCTCCCGCGCTGGGTGGGGCTTGCCCCCTAGCTCCCCCGCGCTGGGTGGGGCTAGCCCCCTAGCTCCCCCGTGCTGGGTGAATGTCACTGTTATGCAGGGTGTAGTACCCCTGCACTGAGTGTATGTAGTTCCTTAGTAACCCCACGATGGGCGGGTGTAGTACCCCTGTGCTCAGTGCATGTAGTACCTGAGAACCCCTGCACTGGGTAGGTATGGTACTGTTTTGCTCTGGGTGGGTGTAGTACCTTAGTAACCGTGTGATGGGAGGGTGTAGTACCTCTGCACTGGGGGCATGAGTACCTTAGTACCCCTGTGCTGGGTGGATCTAGTCCGTCAGTTTGGTGCTCACAGTGTGGCTCTTGCTCCGGCTCTTGTTGATCTTCTGGTTGTGTCGGGTACATTTGAAGCGCAGTTTTCGGACAGTCTGTACCGCGGTCGGACGCACCCGGCTCTTGTTTACTCAGAAGAGGGAAGCGCCAACATCCATGTCTGGCAGGGAAGTGCGCACATTGTGGGGCAAATCACTCCAATACAAACAAATTGCCACCAAACCAATCATGGAGCTACAGGTCCCAGCATGCCTCTCCAGACAGTGTCCACATCTGAAGCTGTTACATGACTGCCATGCAGAGCTTTGGAAATGTCCCTCCTGAGAATGCATGTGCCTTGGCTGTCATGCTGATCCAGTGGCTTCAGTGCTTTGAGCTACTGACCCAGCACAAGTATACAGATCAGGATTTGGGACCTCACTGGCCACATGCTTGTTCTAGGACCAGGGATTCAGCATACAGGGAAGCCAAAGGATTATCATGACTGCCTGGTCAGTAATGGCAGCCTACAGGTTCCCTTTAAGGGCCGGTTCACACTATAGTAGTCTGGATGTGCTTCTGCATACGCATTTTTGATGGGTTTTGGGCGTGTTCTGGTGCCTTTTGATGAGTTCCAGTTCATTTTTTTCCCCTCTCTTTTTCAATTTAAATACAGATATGTGCGTTCCAGTGCGTTTTTGGTGCGTTCCGGTGCATTTTTGATCGTTCCAGTTAATTTTTTCCCTCTCTGTTTCAATTAAAATACGGACATGTGCGTTCCAGTGCTTTTTTGTTGCGTTTTACTGCATTCCAGTACAGTTCTGTGCAGAAAAAACGCAGCCTGTTCTGCGTCTTCTTCGCTGCAAACCGGAACGCACTGGAACTGCAAGCACTGATGTGAACTATGACACTGACAACCATGTCACCTACTTTCTGTGCATTTTGGTTGCAACTGATACGCATGTCGTGTGAACTAGCCCTAGACGCAGCAGTCTGTGCGCTTTGTAGGATGGTGATGAGCGGGAAACGTTACGTTGGCCACACATTATACAATTCTCTTCTTCCGTTTCCTTTAGATTTACCGTCAGCTATGTAGTGCAAGGGTCTGCCTGACTGCATACGAATGCTACGAAAGTGTTTAGGTCTGATTTCGTATTATACGATTTTGGTAAATCTAAAGGAAAATTGTATCATGTATGACCAGCCTAATGCAGGCCGTAGATGGGTTGAAAATCGGCCGTTTTTTTCTTTTTTCTTAAAAAAAGACGAAAAATCAGTTGTTCATTCAGCCGACGTTACCACCAACAGTAAAAAATCGCCCGATTTTCGTCCCATCTACGGCCAGTGTTTAACCCCGTAATTACTTCTGTCCCTGCAGAGAGCTCCGCTATTATATTTTACATGAAAGTCTTGCGGTTGCAACAATGTATCCATTTGTATCCATTTCGGATACAGATGGTTTTATTCGGATACAAATAGATACATTGTTGCAACCGCAAGACTTTTCATATAAAATATAATAGCGGACTGGAATTCTTCTTTTTCTTTCTTTCTTTCTTCTTTTTCTTTCTTTCTTTTTCTTTTCTTTCTCTTTCTTTCCCATCATTGCCAGGAAAATCGGCCCTGAATTTTCCAACATTCCCGATTTAAAAAAAAAAAAAAAAAAAAAAAAAAGTGCAAAAAGCCCGAAAAATGGCCGACCAATTAATTAGTGGACTGGAATTATTTCTCTTTCTTTCTTTCTTTCTTTCTTTTTCTTTCTTTTTTTTGCTTTCTTTTTCTCTTTCTTTCTCTTTCCCATCGTTGCCAGGAAAATCGGCCCTGAATTTTCCAACGTTTCCGATTAAAAAAAAAAAAAAGTGCAAAAAGCCCGAAAAATGGCCGACCAATTAATTAGTGGACTGGAATTCTTTCTCTTTCTTTCTTTTACTTTCTTTCTTTTACTTTCTTTTTCTTTCTTTCTTTTCTTTCTTTCCTTTCTCTTTCTTTCTTTCTCTCTTTCCCATCATTGCCAGGAAAATCGGCCCTGAATTTTCCAACATTCCCGATTTTAAAAAAAAAAAAAAAAAAGGTGCAAAAAGCCCGAAAAATGGCCGACCAATTAATTAGTGGACTGGAATTCTTTCTCTTTCTTTCTTTTGCTTTCTTTTTTTTGCTTTCTTTTTCTTTCTTTTTCTCTTTCTTTCTCTTTTTGTTCCCATCATTGCCAGGAAAATCGGCCCTGAATTTTCCAACATTTCCGATTTAAGAAAAAAAAAAAAAAAGGTGCAAAAAGCCCGAAAAATGGCTGACCAATTAATTAGTGGACTGGAATTCTTTCTCTCTTTCTTTCTTTTGCTTTCTTTTTCTTGCTTTTTTTTTCTTTCTTTCTTTCTTTTTCTTTTTCTTTCTTTCCCCATTTCTTTTTCTTTCTTTCTTTCTCTTTTCTCTTTCTTTCTTTCTCTTTTTCTTTCTTTCTTTCTTCTTTTTTTTTCTTTCTTTCTCTTTTTCTTTCTTTCTCTTTTTCTTTCTTTCTTTCTCTTTTTCTTTCTTTCTCTCTCTTTTTCTTTCTTTCTCTTTTTTTTTTCTTTCTCTTTTTCTTTCTTTCTTCTTTTTCTTTCTTTCTCTTTTTCTTTCTTTCTCTTTTTCTTTCTTTCTCTTTTTCTTTCTTTCTCTTTTTCTTTCTTTCTCTTTTTCTTTCTTTCTCTTTTTCTTTCTTTCTCTTTTTCTTTCTTTCTCTTTTTCTTTCTTTCTCTCTCTCTTTTTCTTTCTTTCTCTCTCTTTTTCTTTCTTTCTCTCTCTTTTTCTTTCTTTCTCTCTCTTTTTCTTTCTTTCTCTCTCTTTTTCTTTCTTTTCTCTTTTTCTTTCTTTCTCTCTCTTTTTCTTTCTTTCTCTCTCTTTTTCTTTCTTTCTCTCTCTTTTTCTTTCTTTCTCTTTTTCTTTCTTTCTCTTTTTCTTTCTTTCTCTTTTTCTTTCTTTCTTTTTTTCTTTCTTTTCTTTCTTTTTTTCTTTCTTTCTCTTTTTCTTTCTTTCTCTTTTTCTTTCTCTTCTCTCTTCTTTCTTTCTTTTTCTTTTCCATCATTGCCAGGAAAATCGGCCCTGAATTTTCCAACATTCCCAATAAAAAAAAAGTGCAAAAAGCCCAAAAAATGGTCGACCAATTAACCCACTAATGGTGCAAAAATTGTCAGATTTTCAACCCGTCTATGGCCTGCATTAGGATTTGATCCGCTGATAGGAGAAGTAGGGTGAAGTTCATTCGATGCGTCACGGACTACATAGAGCTCATCTGTGTGTTTACCGCCTGCTCTGCGAATGTATACTTGCTCGTGGTGAAGATCCGGATTTAGGCCTCAGTCCTGGAATGAGCAGTCAGATCCCCTGTTCAGGAGGCGGTGGGAACCCGAAGTCCCCAGCAGTCGGTTAGCAAGGAATTTCTGCATTCAAAGAGATTCTGCAGCAGCTGCGAAGGCCGGTCATGTCTGTGCTGGAGCTGGCAATCCTCTCCAGGCTGAGATCTCATCACACACGGGCAGATCTGTACAAAACAGCGAGGACGGGGAGGAGGACATTGGCAGGGAGTCTGTGTCAACAAATAGGAATGGCTCTGAAGGGGGTCGCTCGGTCGGTCGCTGACAGCTGGTGCAGCATAGCAGCACATTCGGCCGTCATTGTCTGGGCACAGCCGGCTTGGAACATGGCTTACCGATTGGCTAAGCAGCAGAAGAGAGGCATGGGGCACCATCAGAGGTACCACTTCTCTGCCACTTGGATATAGTCGTTTGTCATTGGGCGATATTTGGTCATGGGGCATTAGGATGGCTCTGGTATGATGAATTGAGGGAGGGACTCTGACATGAAAGGGGGACTCTAATGTAAGGAGGGAGTTCTGATGTGGGGGGGGGGGGGGGGGAGACTCCGATGTGACGAAGAGGGGGAACTCTGATATGAAGGCAGGCATTCTGATCTAAAGAGGGGACTGTGATGCTGATGTGATTGGGGGACCCCTGATGTGATTGGGGGACCCCTGATGTGATTGGGGGACCCCTGATGTGATTGGGGGACCCCTGATAGGAAGAGGGAGGGGGCTGTGATGTAGGGTGAACCTCTGATGTGATGGAGAGTAGGGACTCTGATGGTAATGGGGGGGGGGGTGGAATCTGATGTGAAGGGAGGCATTCAAATATCATGAGGAGACTCTGATGTGATGAGGGGACCTCTGAGGTAATGAATAGGGGGGATCCTGATGTGATGGGGGTACTCTGTGATGAAGAGAGGGACTCTAATTTGAAGGGACTCTAATGTGATAAAAAGGGGGGACTCTGATGTAATGGGTGGAATCTGACGTGAAGTGAGGCATTCAGATCCAAATAGAGGACTCTAATGTGATTGGGGGACCCCTGATAATTTCGAAAAGACCCCAAATCTCTCCTTTACCTTTAAAAGCCAAATATCGGGGGACTTGGGATTTATATATATAATTTTTTTTTTATTTTTAGCTTTAAAAAAAAAAAAAAAAAATTGTTCCGTTTCGGATGTGACGTCATAACGTTGCTCCGGTCCTCCAATAAGTTTTTTGGGTTTGTTTATATATATATATATAAATGTTTTTTGCTCTTTAGCTTTTAAAGGTAAAGGAGAGATTTGGGGTCTTTTTGACCCAAGATCTCTCCTTCAAGAGGACCTGTCATCCTTATTTCTATTACAAGGGATGCATCGCATCCGGAACCTTTTTTTTTTCCCGCACCTGAATCGCATCGCTTGGCTGTTCCCACCCATGGGATTCGATTTCTGGCAGTCGCACCGCATTCCATGTGACGTCTGTGCGCTGCGATTCGAGGCATTCGTTTTGTATGGCTAAATTCGCATCCACACCAAAATGGTTCCGGACTTTTTTTTTTATGCCCCTGAATCGCATCGAATGGATGTCGCAATCCGATTTCTGGCCATTGCACTGCGTTTTGCAATCTTTCGGAGTCGCTAATCAGCACCAGACGTAGATCGCGCCGAGGTCGGTCGATTGCAATGTGGTGCGGGAAACGCACAGGATTCGCATTGCTGGGAACCAGGTCTGTAGGTCAAAGACTGTCCTTCATGTGGAAAGGTATTTCGGATGGATGGGCGGCTGACACGCTTCCTTCTCCCGAAACGCAAGCAGGTCAGACCTGTCTGTATGCAAATCGAGAGGCCACGCCCCTCTGACAGGACCCCCCCCCCCTGCTTTCTAATTTCAGAAAACATGCGCCGAAGAGTCAGATATCGGAGATAATGAAGACGTCACTTCCTGCCCTCACCAGGAACACAATGAGGAATGACAACCGCTCTATAATTGGTGGATGGAGCCGCGCCCCGACACTGGGGGCTCATTCACAATTCATTCACAGTAGCGTGCCGTGAGAGCACGGGTCACATGGGCCTGTTTCTTTATTTAGTCACTCCTCTGAAAAGCAATTCACGCTTAGATTACTTTATGGAGAACATTTGACAGGTGGTATAACTTCCTCATCGCCAGCTTTAACCCCTTGGACCCCATGCTTGATACTTGCAGAGGGGCCCTACTAACCTAAGTGGGTCGTGATAGGCAGGTGGTAGCGCCTGGTGAAAGCAGCAGGGGGCAGAATTCCTGCCTCAGCCGGGAAGCACAGCATCACAGCTATGGCATGTATACACCCCCCTGGCACGGCCTCTGCAGCTAAAGGGGTAGCAGTTGGGGTAGTAAAAACACAGCTAAGCCGAAAGGTTTTATCTCCCTCCCCCATGTCTGAGCCATGGCTCTCTTTTTCTAGATCTAGGTATGTTTTAGACTTTCCCTCCAAAACCTCCCTTTCCCCTCTTCAGCATCTCCCCGCTTGGTCCCTCTATGGGGAAAAAATGGTTCTTATTTCCGGTGGCCCCATAAACAGCCTTGCAAAGTTCTTACAGGGGCAGCCTCTGGGAGGGCAGTTCCTAGTGACATAGGTGGCCCCAGAACTACATCTCCCAGAAGCGCCGGAACTACGTCCCCCAAAAGCGCCGGAACTGCGTCCCCCAAAAGCGCCGGAGCTGCGTCCCCCAAAAGCCCCGGAACTACGTCTCCCAAAAGCCCCGGAGCTGCGTCTCCCAAAAGCCCCGGAGCTGCGTCTCCCAAAAGCCCCGGAGCTGCGTCTCCCAAAAGCCCCGGAGCTGCGTCTCCCAAAAGCGCCGGAGCTGCGTCCCCCAAAAGCGCCGGAGCTGCGTCCCCCAAAAGCGCCGGAGCTGCGTCCCCCAAAAGCGCCGGAGCTGCGTCCCCCAAAAGCCCTGGAGCTGCGTCCCCCAAAAGCCCTGGAGCTGCGTCCCCCAAAAGCCCTGGAGCTGCGTCTCCCAAAAGCTTTTTCCCTACAGTCTGTGGATGGGCTCTTTGGGGGTCATGGCAGCAATATTGTCCTCCTTGGAGAGAAGTCAGTGTATGCATGTGGCAGGGGGTGGGTGCAGTTCTGTAGTCTACGGGGTGGGCAGGACTGACACCAATGATGGGGCACTATTCCTCCCGCCGACACCAATGATGGGGCACTATTCCTCCCGCCGACACCAATGATGGGGCACTATTCCTCCCGCCGACACCAACGATGGGGCGCTATTCCTCCCACTGACACCAACGATGGGGCGCTATTCCTCCCACTGACACCAACGATGGGGCGCTATTCCTCCCACTGACACCAACGATGGGGCGCTATTCCTCCCACTGACACCAACGATGGGGCGCTATTCCTCCCACTGACACCAACGATGGGGCGCTATTCCTCCCACTGACACCAACGATGGGGCGCTATTCCTCCCACTGACACCAACGATGGGGCGCTATTCCTCCCACTGACACCAACGATGGGGCGCTATTCCTCCCACTGACACCAACGATGGGGCGCTATTCCTCCCACTGACACCAACGATGGGGCGCTATTCCTCCCACTGACACCAACGATGGGGCGCTATTCCTCCCACTGACACCAACGATGGGGCGCTATTCCTCCCACTGACACCAACGATGGGGCGCTATTCCCCCCACTGACACCAACGATGGGGCGCTATTCCCCCCACTGACACCAACGATGGGGCGCTATTCCCCCCACTGACACCAACGATGGGCGCTATTCCCCCCACTGACACCAACGATGGGGCGCTATTCCCCCCACTGACACCAACGATGGGGCGCTATTCCCCCCACTGACACCAACGATGGGGCGCTATTCCCCCCACTGACACCAACGATGGGGCGCTATTCCCCCCACTGACACCAACGATGGGGCACTATTCCCCCCACTGACACCAACGATGGGGCACTATTCCCCCCACTGACACCAACGATGGGGCACTATTCCCCCCACTGACACCAACGATGGGGCACTATTCCTCCCACTGACACCAACGATGGGGACACTATTCCTCCCGCAGACATCAATGATGGAGATTATGTAATTATCTTACCCCCCACTGACCACCAAGTCTGTGGCATTTTCTGCTCCCACTGGCCATATTCTGGCCCTCCTAAAGTCTGGAGGAATATGATCTGGCCCTTTGCTCGGGAAGGTTGGAGACCTCCGGGATAAACCCTGGGCAGTGTACATGGATTGGAGCCGCGTACGGGAGGATTTCCCCCTGACATGCATTTACTGCTACTTTTGGAAAACTTTTCTGTTTTGATTTTCAGCAAAGCTGTAAATGTGATTTCTGTGGATGGGGAAAGTGTTGATTGCTTTGCGCAGCACTTGTATCTCTAGTGACTGCCAACATATATGAAGTCCTTTGCAGCTGGAGATGAAACACTTCTGTCCCGGGGGGGGGGGGGGGGGGGGGGGGGGGGGGCGCCAGGCCCGCACGTCTCTGTTCTTCCCGTCTTTATTAGGTCTATTCATTGAACCCTCCGAGGATGCCGGTCATTGCTGGAGCCAGATCACATCTCATCAGATGATTGCTGCTTCCATCCAATTCTCCCACACATTGATCTGCCCCAGTGCTGCGGCAATACTAGCCATGGCGACCGACCGGGCAGTTCCATACTTCAGGGATGTTCAGGGATTTTTTTCTCCGAGAATAGGTGCAGGTACACCCCCCCCACTCCCGAATGCTTAGCATCAAGAGCCACCTCCTCCCCCCCCCCCCCCCCCTCAGCTCCCCCCCCCCTCAGCTCCCTCCCCCACAAGAACACCCTCAGCTCCCCCCCCCCCTCAGCTCCCCACAAACACCCAACTCCCCCCCCCCCCAACCCCTCAGCTCCCCCCCCCTCAGCTCCCCCCCCCCCCATCAGCTCCCCCCCCCCCTCAGCTCCCCCCCCCCCCCTCAGCTCCCCCCCCCCCTCAGCTCCCCCCCCCCCCTCAGCTCAGCCCCCCCCCCCCACCCTCAGCTCCCCCCTCAGCTCCCCCCCCTCCTCCCCCCCCCCCCTCAGCTCCCCCCCCCCCAAATCAGCTCCCCCCCCCCTCCTCCCCCCCCCCCCTTCAGCTCCCCCCCTCCTCCCCCCGTCAGCTCCCCCCCCCCTTCTCCCTGTCAGACCCTGTAGACCCAGCCCCGGGAGGTGGTCAGACCCTGTAGACCCAGCCCCGGGAGGTGGCCAGACCCTGTAGACCCAGCCCCGGGAGGTGGCCAGACCCTGTAGACCCAGCCCCGGGAGGTGGCCAGACCCTGTAGACCCAGCCCCGGGAGGTGGCCAGACCCTGTAGACCCAGCCCCGGGAGGTGGTCAGACCCTGTAGACCCAGCCCCGGGAGGTGGCCAGACTGAATATAATAAATATGTACTCGGGTAAGGAAAACAACGCTGGGGCCCCAAGAGCCACCCAATAAATTGTGCCACAGGTTGGGCAGCAAGATTTGAGCTGTACATGTGCTCCACCGATACAGCAGACTTGTGACTTTCTATAGGGAGTGATCCAGCGCAGACACTTCCCTAGCCCGGGGCTGAGTCTCTCTCCTTGTCTCACAAAGGTCGTCTTTCCAGCTTCTCCCAGATTGGATTACACAGCTCAGAGGCCACAAGATCACATTGTGTGGGCTTTCTTTTTTTCCCTTTTACAAATTGCAACTTTCCTTTTTAAAGTGTTGAGTTGTGTTTAGCAAGAAACTTTTTTTTTTTTAATTTAAAATAATTTTCACCTTTTTCATCTTTGTTGCATCCCAGTGATCTCCGGCAGCCTCTTTGCAGCTACTTCCTGTCTACATGCACTCCGATTGGTTGCGTGAACTTTCTCAGGGTGGGCTTCCTGCGGAGGACTGCGTAATGTGCTTTAGCATGGCCACATGTAGTCTCCATCAGAAGCCCATGTGACAGGGTGGCAATGCAGGAGCACTATTGGGAAACAGGGACTTGGAAGTGCCTGAGTAGGGACCATTATGGCAGGATCACCAGGAATTATTTTAATGAAGCTTCAGATGTATGCTAGCCATTCACAGTTTGCATTTCAGACTGAATTGGCCAAAATCAGCTGTGGGTGGACTTGTTGACAGTTTCCAGACAGGTAGCGCTCTCCCATTCTCCGGCAGTGGATATGGACCTTGCATTGGTCTTAATGACCATCAGGTTCATAGACCATTGGACCACGGGGCGAAGCCACGCAGGGATTGGACTAGCAGCGTCAAGGCTCAGACGCCGAGAGGCCGCATATTTGCGCGCGTCGGCGCTTAGGGGTTAAAAAGGTTTTCAGGGATTGTCTAAAGGTGGATCGATTAGGAGATAGCCGGACAGATTGGGGTAGTGAGTTCTATAGGATGGCAGAAGCTCTGGAGATATTTTGAGACCAGGTTGGTGATGTAGCCGGGGCAGAGTTGTGGATGGCTTTGTAAGTTGTTAGTATTTTGAATTTTATTTGTTGGGCGAGTGGAGGCCAGTGGAGGGATTGGCAGAGGGGGGGAGAACACTGAGTGGAGGTCAGTGGAGTGATTGGCAGAGAGGGGTGGAGGTCAGTGGAGGGATTGGCAGAGAGGGGTGGAGGTCAGTGGAGGGATTGGCAGAGAGGGGTGGAGGTCAGTGGAGGGATTGGCAGAGAGGGGTGGAGATCAGTGGAGGGATTGGCAGAGAGGGGTGGAGGCCAGTGGAGGGATTGGCAGAGAGGGGTGGAGGACACTGAATGGAGGCCAGTGGAGGGATTGGCAGAGAGGGGTGGAGGACACTGAATGGAGGCCAGTGGAGGGATTGGCAGAGAGGGGTGGAGGACACTGACTCGAGGCCAGTGGAGGATTGGCAGAGAGGGATGGAGGACACTGAGTGGAGGGATTGGCAGAGGGGGGTGGAGGACACTGAGTGGAGGGATTGGCAGAGAGGGGTGGAGGACACTGAGTGGAGGCCAGTAGAGGGATTGGCAGAGAGGGATGGAGGACACTGAGTGGAGGCCAGTAGAGGGATTGGCAGAGAGGGGTGGAGGACACAGAGTGGAGGCCAGTAGAGGGATTGGCAGAGAGGGGTGGAGGACACAGAGTGGAGGCCAGTGCAGGGATTGACAGAGAGGGGTGGAGGCCAGTGGAGGGATTGGCAGAGAGGGGTGGAGGACACTGAACTTGCAAGAAGTAGCGCACAAAGTACTTTCAAAATCTGTGTGACGGAATCGCAACGATATGACCGCTTCCATTGTGGACAATAACGATCGAATAGTTGAAACAATCAAATCACATGACAATTCGCACCGGTGTGACCGGAGATTTGGGCTTTAACGCCTCCAAGATCTCTGGGACTGACCGTGGCCGCGTGCGCTCTCCGAGGCTGTGCGTCTGGAACTACAGCACTGAGGTACGAAGTCCTCTCCCGTCACACTTTCTTTCCCCCAATCAGCGGCTCCCGTCTGGTTTCTGACATTTCATCGGTCACCTCTGCCATATGAGGACGCTCGCCGGTAATGTCTGGTTGGGGGGGGGGGTTGCTGGGGGTGTTTGTGGGTTTTTTGTTTTTTATTATTATAACGCGCTCCTTTTCTTGGAATCGCCGGAAAGGTTGTCAGTTCTGAGCTCATTGTTTGGTGGTTTATCAGGGAAGTACCTGACACTCGGGCAGTTTTGCCGCTGAGTCACTCTTTGTGCCGAAGCCAAATACAAAGGATGTTGCCGGTCATTTGAGGAGCGTGTTGGTCCTTTAAGCTTTGCTCAGCCCTAAAGGTCGGGGGGCTACGGGGCCCCTTTAATACTTCATCTCTGGCTTGCTTAGAAGAAACACTTGAAAGCGATCCGGAGTGCTGCCGGCGCGGTGCGTTCCTGTGCGTCGGAGGCGGCGTGAAGTCAGCCGAACTGCGTCCGTTGTCTTTGGAATTTCTTTCCATCTTTTTTCTCCCATGCAGATGAAAGTAATATCCGGGTATTAATGATCAGCTCTCCGTATTTTTCCCCCCCCCTCGCTATCCCGCGGCCCCGGGGGTCTCACTTAAAGGTTAACCTGTCAGAAAATGTGTTTTTTTTGTTTTTTTTTTTTAACCCAAAGCCCGCAGGCGAGCATCAATCTCACCGTCGTGCCGGATTTCACACGCACGTCATCCCCGAGATTAGAAGCGTGTATCCAGGCGTGCTCATGCATGCGATTAACCTTCGATTTTACGGGTTTTTTTTTTTTTGTACAGGGAGACCATATTTAGCTGCGGTAACCCTTGGCAACCAATTGGAAGTCTTTTGTAAATGTTCCAGACTGCTGACGGGTGAAATATGGCTGCTTGTAATTGGGAGTCGCAGCATTTCATGCGTCCTTTTTTCTTCGTCTCGTGTAGCAAACTTTCAAGCTGCTGTTTTGTTACGCTCTGCCGTATTGAAAATGTCAGTTATTGACAGGAATTGAACTGCAAAAAATTAAAAAAATTGCCATTTTCCTTGAAATAGGTAAGCGGCTATAATGCACATTAGATACTTGGAGGGGGCTGTATAAGCGTGGCTCAATCACCTGCTTTTACTGCCCCTCCCTGGCCGCCCTTAGTCAGAACTTTGCCTGCCCCTCCCAGTGACGGCCTTTCTAATGGATAGAGCAGTGATCTCCAAACTGCAGCCCAGGGTCTAGATGTGGCCCTTGGCTGGCTTTTATTTAGACCTTAGGGCACTGTTCCTCCCACTGACACCAATGATGGGGCACTATTCCTCCCACTGACACCAATGATGGGGCACTATTCCTCCCACTGACACCAATGATGGGGCACTATTCTTCCCACTGATACCAATGATGGGGCACTATTCCTCCCACTGACACCAATGATGGGGCACTATTCCTCCCACTGACACCAATGATGGGGCACTATTCCTCCCACTGACACCAATGATGGGGCACTATTCCTCCCACTGACACCAATGATGGGGCACTATTCTTCCCACTGATACCAATGATGGGGCACTATTCCTCCCACTGACACCAATGATGGGGCACTATTCCTCCCACTGACACCAATGATGGGGCACTATTCCTCCCACTGACACCAATGATGGGGCACTATTCCTCCCACTGACACCAATGATGGGGCACTATTCCTCCCACTGACACCAATGATGGGGCTCTATTCCTCCCACTGACACCAATGATGGGGCTCTATTCCTCCCACTGACACCAATGATGGGGCACTATTCCTCCCACTGACACCAATAATGGGGCACTATTCCTCCCACTGACACCAATGAGGGGGCACTATTCCTCCCACTGACACCAATAATGGGGCACTATTCCTCCCACTGACACCAATGATGGGGCACTATTCCTCCCACTGACACCAATGATGGGGCACTATTCCTCCCACTGACACCAATGATGGGGCACTATTCCTCCCACTGACACCAATAATGGGCACTATTCCTCCCACTGACACCAATGATGGGGCACTATTCCTCCCACTGACACCAATGATGGGGCACTATTCCTCCCACTGACACCAATGATGGAGCACTGTTCTTGCCACTGATACCAATGATGGGGCACTGTTCCTGCCACTGACACCAATGATGGGGCACTATTCCTCCCACTGACACCAATGATGGGGCACTATTCCTCCCACTGATACCAATGATGGGGCACTGTTCCTCCCACTGACACCAATGATGGGGCACTATTCCTCCCACTGACACCAATGACGGGGCACTATTCCTCCCACTGACACCAATGACGGGGCACTATTCCTCCCACTGACACCAATGATGGAGCACTATTCCTCCCACTGATACCAATGATGGAGCACTATTCCTCCCACTGACACCAATGATGGAGCACTATTCCTCCCACTGACACCAATGACGGGGCCCTATTCCTCCCACTGACACCAATGACGGGGCCCTATTCCTCCCACTGACACCAATGACGGGGCCCTATTCCTCCCACTGACACCAATGACGGGGCCCTATTCCTCCCACTGACACCAATGACGGGGCCCTATTCCTCCCACTGACACCAATGACGGGGCCCTATTCCTCCCACTGACACCAATGACGGGGCCCTATTCCTCCCACTGACACCAATGACGGGGCCCTATTCCTCCACTGACACCAATGACGGGGCCCTATTCCTCCCACTGACACCAATGACGGGGCCCCTATTCCTCCCACTGACACCAATGACGGGGCCCTATTCCTCCCACTGACACCAATGACGGGGCCCTATTCCTCCCACTGACACCAATGACGGGGCCCTATTCCTCCCACTGACACCAATGACGGGGCACTATTCCTCCCACTGACACCAATGACGGGGCACTATTCCTCCCACTGACACCAATGACGGGGCACTATTCCTCCCACTGACACCAATGACGGGCACTATTCCTCCCACTGACACCAATGACGGGGCACTATTCCTCCCACTGACACCATTGACGGGGCACTATTCCTCCCACTGACACCATTGACGGGGCACTATTCCTCCCACTGACACCATTGACGGGGCACTATTCCTCCCACTGACACCATTGACAGGCATTGTTTACTCCCACTGATGTCAGGTCATTTACTTCTCCTGCTGGCCCCCAGTCCGGCCCCCCTAAACCCTGCCGGACATACACTGACCCTTTGTATAGAAAGTTTGGAGACCCCTGGGATGATGCGATCTGCGCATTGCATTGAGGGATCAGCAGATGGCGCTGGGCAGCGATGCTTAGCCAATAGAATGAGTTCCTCGGAGTTCTGATCGAAACGTTTGTCCACAATCAGTAATCCTTTAGAACATTGACATGTATTTGATCTGTTCTTAGCGGTTGCCCAGCATTCCATCCATTGATCTGTGTGATCCGCGGGTTGGTCAGGACACGTGCAGCATTCCGCGGTCATACCCGCTCCAGTCCTGGGGATGGCAGTAGTGAGGGGCTGTTCACACACCGTATCCATGCAGCACAATTCTTGCATGATCCATGTCCAGGAGAAATCCCATTCCTTCCTATGCGGCTGCTTGATGTGTGTGTGCACTGAATGACAAAGGCCCATGTACACCGACGTGTGCGTTATGCTGCGAGCACACTGACCAGTGCAAATCCCGCCTTGAACTGCACTTCAGACATTTTTTCTATGCAGCATGTGTCAGGGTAACACTTCTAGGTGCTTCTAAAGTCTCAGAGGTCACGGTACTCCCCCCCCCCCCCCCCCCCCCCCCCCCCCCCCCCCCCCCCCCCGACAGTGCACAGCGCCATCTTTGTTCAGCCATCATTCAGGATCATTGATGCCGGCTGAGAGGACAGTCATGTAGATCCCAGTGTCTGATCTTGTGGCAGTGTTCACAAATGTCTGACGCAGATCAGCCCCTGCTGCAGCCTCTCACCTTGTGAATTGTTACAAAGTTTCAATGTAAAGTCTGATTACTGAGGGGGGGGGGGGGGTACTGAGGAAATTGCTCCTCCTGCCTTCTACAAAGTTACAATGTAAAGCCTGATCACTGGGGGGGGGGGACTGAGGAAATTGCTCCTCCTGCCTTCTACAAAGTTACAATGTAAAGCCTGATCACGGGGGACTGAGGAAATTTCTCCTCCTGCCTTCTAAAAAGTTACAATGTAAAGTCTGATCACTGGGGGGGGGGGGGGACTGAGGAAATTTCTCCTCCTGCCTTCTAAAAAGTTACAATGTAAAGTCTGATCACTGGGGGGGGGGGGACTGAGGAAATTGCTCCTCCTGCCTTCTACAAAGTTACAATGTAAAGTCTGATCACTGGGGGGAGGGAAAGACTGAGGAAATTTCTCCTCCTGCCTTCTACAGTCTTTCCCCTCCCCCCAGTGATCAGACTTTACATTGTAACTTTGTAGAAGGCAGGAGGAGAAATTTCTTCATTCTCCCCCCCCCCCCCCCCCTCAGTGATATTGTGGCTTTCTAGAAGGCGGGAGGAAGCATTTCCTCAGTCCCCCCCGTCCCCCCCCCCCCCCCCCCGTTCCCCCAGTGATCAGACTTTACATTGTAACTTTGTAGAAGTTACAATGTGCAGTCTAATCACTGGGGGAGGGGAGACTGAGGAAATGTCTCCTCCTCCTTCTACAAAGGGGGAGGGAAAAGACAAAGGTACAATGTTAC